AATGAAATAACACCATCTATTTGACATTATTTAATGGTACATGTTAATGAAATAACACCATCTATTTGACATTATTTAATGGTACATGTTAATGAAATAACACCATCTATTTGACATTATTTAATGGTACATGTTAATGAAATAGCACCATCTATTTGACATTATTTAATGGTACATGTTGTGTTAATGAAATAGCACCATCTATTTGATATTATTTAATGGTATGTGTTAATGAAATATCACCATCTATTTGATATTATTTAATGGTACATGTTGTGTTAATGAAATAGCACCATCTATTTGATATTATTTAATGGTATGTGTTAATGAAATAGCACCATCTATTGCATATCAAATTGTATTTTGCTGGGGAGAGAAAACCAGTCTTATTTTATGATTTTTAGTTTTGCATGTCTAAGCATTATGCATTTTGAACAGTGTTTCTCTAAGATTCAACTTACATCAATTCTGCCTTTATATACACGTGTGTATGTTTTATAACCTTCATAAACTATGAAATAAATAATGCACGAGGACTCAACTCCTGGACATGGCAGGTTAACCTGGCAAGGATTTAATTACATGTACTTTGGTAACTAATTCATTTGAAGTTATCTTGAATTAAAGCTAACTGCAATTAATATTCATAACCTTGTTTAATGCAAACTTGACCTATATCTCCATGATGTATCTTTATTAGCTCAATATTTCGCTCTTACAGCTTCATCGGGAGCTATTGATATCCTATAAGTTCACTAATCCTGTTAAATCTAAATTGGAACACCATCATCAGTAAATCGAACATTGATACACGTGTTTAGAAAGGTCTGGTCACATTAAAATAATATCAAACATTCTTGAATTTAAACCATTGAAAAAAACCAACAAACCAACAATGCTAAATAAATAATATGTGTAAACCAACAGGTAAACTGTTAACATCATTGGATGTAGAATAGGATACATTACGTATATAAAATACCTCTTCATATTTGCATCTGTAAATATTATTTCACCTTATTATATCAATTCATACACAAAACAATGTGTGAAAATATATTTCAACCCTTATGCGTATGTGTATATATATATATATATATATAGAAACTTTGTCAAAGTTCTCATGGAAGTCGCACCCCTTGGTGGTGGTTCCCTTTCTTTCGCTATTTCAGAAAGGACCTCATCTTTGTAATTTGTAAGTACTGGCCCATCTTCATCGTGGGATTCTAGGTCTTGTGGTGCAGAGAGATAAGTAGTAATTTTGAAGTTAATGTTTTACTTACCTGAAAATGTGTTTCAGATAGTTACATACCTCTCTGCACCACCTCCCACTTATAGTGCATTTTGTTTTCCTCGTCAAGAATGAACCTATGATCACGTACTAGTGCTCACAGAGGTTGTATTGCTGTCCAAGTAGTGGAAGACTACAACAATATTATGTGCACATCATATGCTGGCACAATATACATAGACATGTGTAGGGGTGGGAGTTTGTTCAACATGTGCAGGAAATTCCATGGCAGTTGCGATAGAAGTAATAGCTCGTAGTGGTGCATAAAGGTAAGTATATATATTTGGAAATAAATTTTCAGGTAAAGAAAATTTTAATTTTCCTGATAATCAGTTCACCCCAAGAGAACATTAGCTTGACAGGTAAATACCATATTAATGTGTTGTCGTGAAAATAGAACATATTAGTTTGCACATTTCTTGGAAATATAAGAGTGTAAATGTTTCTCCCCGATGCTAAAGTCTAGAAGCACAAATGTCAAACTTGCACCAGTATATTTGTGAATTTTGAGTGCTACTATTACACTGAGGATGTTTAAATGCGAAAGTTTATACCACATTTTTTTTATCTAATATACAAACACATATATATTTGTTTAACATTTATAAATAATTAAATAAATAATTATCCAATTTTATCTGAAATATCAAAAAATGCTCCATTAGGTTTATACATACCAATCCTATTTATTACTAAGGGGTTTATTTTTTATTTCACAAGAAAAACCTTATGACTGAAAGGAATAATGTGTAGACAGTATCTCAAACTTATGTAATATTTTTTTTTTTTTATAGAATGAGCCTTGATGACACCAGTAAACAGGATCTTTTGCAGGCCCTTCACAAAAAACTGAAAGATGAATTCAAAGACACCATTTTGGCCCAGGTTCAGCCATTTCTAACCGATCAAGTGGACAGTGATACACAAGAACTTGAGAAACAAATTTATCAATCTCTGGTATCTTCCCCAGATTTTTACAAGTTTCAACTAACGTTTTTCAACTCGCTTACTAAGTTGAATGAAGACAGCATTCACATTTTCTCTAAATTTCAACAGTCAGTTTGGGATGACGGTTTCCGTAGTCGTCAACGGAGTTTAATTTCATTGAGCAATATTTCAACAAGCAGTTCGTTTAATCAGTCAGGTGTCTTATTTCTTTCAAATGATCAACTTCATGAAGCTAATAACATGCTTTTGAGCTCTTCTTCATCAGCAAAATTACATGCATTACAACTTATAGGGAATATATCCTCTCTGGAGTTTGTAGTGTGTGGAAATTTGTGGACACAGTTAGAGATTGGTTTAACTGGTGCTCTGCTTCATCCAGTTGTCCTTATTCAGCAAGCAGCACTGCGAGTTTATAGAAAGATGCTTTCCTGCAGTATGGCACACATTGTTAAAAAAGGTTACGTGAGCTTGTTAACTTTTCTTTCATACAATATAACGGATGGTCCATTCTCAGAGTCTTGTGATAAATCTGTTGGTTCTCGATATCAAGTGCTATTGTTAGTGAACAAGTTTCAACAGAAGGTGGCTAGACACTGGTTGCGTTATCCACAAACAGTCATTGAAGAAATTATTGAAAGTACATTTTACATGCTTTCTTGCTCTGTTAAAGAGAAAGAACCAGATTCCAGCAAGGTATGGGAGTATGTTGTGCAAGTGGATCCCCATTTTGTCTGGCTAGGCAACTGGCTTCATGGAGCATTCAGTAGGTCCATTTTATTTCGGTCTTTGAAAAAACATGTAGAAATTCTTATTTATATTCTAAAAAGTTACACAAACAGCATTGATGTACATTTACCTTCAAAAGTTTCTGAAAGTTGCAACATATCTGAAAGTACACTTAGGAACAATAATATAACAGGATTATCTCACACATTTTTTCTCTCCAGAATATTACTGTTTACAGATGGAAGGCAGCTTTTTCCTGTTAAAATAGATGAATCACAAGACACGTGCATTACCCTGGAAGATACCTTGAAATCTTTAATTGAAACAACTTGGAAAGTTCTGCCTTATTTAGGAGATAATGTCTCTGCATTAGTAGATTGTGTTGTGAAAACTTGTTCTACCATTTTGTTATCCGAAGTTGAGGTTACTCAAGAGAATATTCTAGAATCTCTGGTTTTTCCTGTTTTAGAAGATCATGTTGGAAGCTCAAAGTGTCTTCAGGCAACAAGGTGTTTGCTGAAGTTGACATTAAATGAATGTTTTGTGAAAAAGTTGTTAGGCATTACTGGAGATCAACCACTAGGTTTGACCATCATGAAACATACCATTTTTATATTTTCTTGGGGTGAGAATTCCAATAAAGAACTTGAAGAGGTTAGACATAATGTGATATGGATATCTTGTAATCTTCTGGCTCAGCCAAAGGGAAAATTACTTGCCATGAGGTGTAATTTATGGAAAACATTACTAAATGAATTATCTACAACTTTAGCTAGGCAAAGAAGTTCATCAGTAGACAATCCTACATCAGCTATCTCCAACAAAATTCTTCTTGTTGATAAAACTTTAAGTATTCTGCTTAATACCTTTATGGGAAATCAAATTGGTGTATTATTTTTAAAAAATGCTGGTATTTTACTTGAATGTGTAAATATTATGTTATTGTCCCTACCACTTGAAGACACTACTACGGTGTGTTCAGCCCAATGTCCCCATGCTGTTTTAAGTTTAACTTTTGCTTTACCTCACTTAGCCAACATGATATGGGATGACATGGACATGATGTTAAGGTTTATTTGGCATTTGTGTGAGAAACATGCTGCAACATGTCTCAGAGCATACCAAGCTCAAGAACAGCCACCTTCTCTGGATTTAGTTTTTCAGAAATATATTCATCTGTTCTCTTTATATCCTGCTGAAATGTTACTCATCCATCAAGAGGCAACACTAACTAAAGATGATACTACTAGTATAGCTGACTCTTTGAATATGTTTCCTGAGGTGGTTAATGAAAACATATCATCTGAAGATAAGCATCTTTTATGCTTAAATGTACTATCTGTCATGGTGACCAATATAAAAACTTGTTTGTATCTGGAAGATAGCTTTCAACTACAAAAACATCTTCTTTTGGACCAGATGAAAGATCTAACAGAAGATAAAAACATCATTATAGATGAATATTCGCTCATAAGGAACCACATTATCTCAAGGGTTAAGACTATTGGTGGGCATACAGAGAGACATCTGGCTCCAAGATTCTATTCTGAAAATATAAACAAGTGGCCTTTCATCACAGATGACACTGTACCATCAGCCTATCAGTCTTGTAAACTAGAGGTCGAATGTGACATTGAAGTTGAGAATTGGTGTTCTGAACTTGATGATTTGCAGAAACTACAAAATGCTTTCATTAAATATTGCTGTTGTGAATCAGTGAAAAACTTGAATAATAAATGTGGCAGTCTAATCAGAGCATATATAGTCTTGGAAGAAGTCACATCTAGTAAACCCTTTGTGAATTTTAATGATGACTCCTTTGAAAGTTCTTCAGATGATCAGTTACACTGTTCTGTTTCACAACTGGGCATTGAAATGTGCATAAAGTATGCACAGGTTTTAAATCTTCCTGCGTTCAACGGAAATTTAGAAGAAAAAAAGATGTTCATTTTAAGAATGATCAAAAATAGGGCAGTGAGAAAAAGAGAGTTTGATTTTTTTATCCCAACTGTTTTTATCATTTTAGATGGACAGTTAAAGAACGTAGAAACAGTCACACATATTGTATCTCATTCCTGGAAATGTTTATACTTTTGGTCCTCAAGTAGTGCCCTTCATGAGTTTATTTATTCAACGTTGCTGCAGGAATTAGATTTCCTGGTTAGTGCAACTCTTCCTACTATTTACAATGCTTTCCAAATGAATGGAGTTCTACCATCAGTGATATTCCACCACTGGCTTGGCCAGTGTTACTGGAACTACCTAGATTGGTCCGAAATATGTCGATGGGTAAACCTTCTTCTGTTGTGGGGAGGAGACTTTGTCTTGTATCATGCTGTGGCTGTTTTGAAGCATTTAGAACATCATATTTTAGAGTTTGCTCAGAAACAACAACTCCTTGTTTTCTTAAAAGAGCAACCTATACAAGGTTTCCAGCTAATGAAATACATGTACTTAATTGAAGACTTGAACTTGCAATATCACAGCCAAATAGAAACTGACTTAAACTTTGTGTGCTCTTTAGACAAGTGTGGTTTGTAGAGGAAAGTAGAAAAATGTGCCTAGAGTAAGTCTTGTTATAGATCGAAAGATGAATAATGATGTGTTTTGTTCGGTACAGATGATGTTTATAAATTATGAAGTGTGTGTGCATGTAATGTAGAAATGTATCATTTATAGAACTATATTTAATATATACTTTTAGAACAGCTTATACAACAATGATGGCCAGTTTATTTCGACAAGGTCATCAGTTTCACTGATCTTACTGCATTATTTTGACACGTTTGTACATGTTACTTTCTGAGTGTTAACTTACCTGCCCACTAGTTAAGTTCCAATTTTTGACTGTGGATCTTTAGTTATTTTAATATGGAATGGTTTTATTTAAGGCAGTGCACACAATCTTGAAATTAATGTGGTTTAGTTTGGCATCACATTAGCGGATGACAGATCATAAAGTGTGCATTAAGTTCAAAAGCTTTATTTTATATGTTTAAATACACAACAAGTTACTGACCATACAATTTTATTAATAATTGGAAAAGCAACATAGAAAACAAAATGATGTAAATGAAGATTTAAGTGACTTATTTTAGAAACTATGAAATTGTAGATAAACCTTTGTAATCTTTTCTGGATAACTCGATGATTTCAGAAATGATCATTTATCATATTTTAAGATTTTATAAATGAAATTTCTTAAGTTTTTGTTTTCTCAATCTTACAATTATTAATACAGTTGAAGCTACCTGTTGACAGAAGAGGTCAAAGTTCCTAATACTTTACAACTGAAACACCTGATAAAGACAAGAGGCAACTTATAAGTAGGATTATGTTCATAAAGTTTTCACTGTTTTGAAAGTTAACAAAACAAGCTGCATAAAGTACAGATTCTGATTCCAATATTCAAAGAAAAAGTAGATTATAAAGATTTAAAAAATGTTAATCTGAAGAAGTATCTAGCAAGACTCGTTCTATTGGATGATATTGTGGTGTTTTAGTAATCCTGTTTCCTGATTGGATTGTTGTATTTATTGACACTTCTAACCTTAAAATAGCTGACTTGTTTGTTATAACAAACAAGTTTAATAATGAAATGATTTAGCTTTATGCTAACATTTTTTAAAATGAAATCATTCAATTTTATGCTTAATTTTTTAAATGAAGAGACTCGATTCTGTGCTTAGTGTTTTTAATGAAGTGATTCAACTTCATGCTTACATTTTAAGTGTTTCCAGCACTCTTCTTGAAACCAAATAGTTGCTTTCATTCAAAGCTACATTTACTGGATTTTATTTTAACTACAGATTCTTAGTTGTGCTTTATTAACTTAATCTACGTTTTTCTACTTTTTGCAAAGAACTTGAAAGTTTAGTGCTTTTTCTTTCTATATAATAGTTTTACAAGATCACTTACTAAAAGGTTATTTGGACAACTTTGCACTGTTCTAGGTTTTAAATATAAATGCCAGTTTCAAGCTTGTGTGCAATGCTCCAGTTTTAAAAGTTAAGTAACTTTACTGGTTCACTGGCTCTCTTTTATCACCAAACAGTTAGCTGGAATTTTTAAGTTGTTTTATTTCAGATGTGATAATAATATTAATAGAACATCTGAGACTAAACTCTGTGTAAGCTTTCAAGTTTGTAATGCTAATGTTAACTCTTTTTTTTTTAAATTATAATTCAAAGTCAAAATGACGATAATCGATAGTATTCCGCATAGCTGACTTAGTTTGAACCAATATGGTTCAGGTTTTGCATTTAGAGTTGTGTGATTTAACAAGTATAATAAATTACCCATGAACAGTAATTACATTCATTAGTGTCTTGTAAATTAATTAATCAAAATTATGATTGTCATGAAAATAATCAATTAGTTGAAATTATGTTTTGATTTTTACTGTTTTTGATTATTCCAACAATCCAAGTTATTGAAATATTGCTATTATGTGTGTTTGTAGTTAAGCACAAAGCTACATAATAGGATATCCACGCTCTGCCCTTATAGTTTGTTCAGCACTGGTGATTTGTGAAGTGGGGGCTCATGGTTTCATTCCCATTGTCACAAAACTTGCTCATTTTGTATGCTGAAACTACTGATCTATCTACCACTGTCACTAATTATGAACTGCTGATTAGAGGGAAGGCACTGGTTGGCAGCACCTGCCACGTACCTTTTTTGTTTGTTTGTACATACTGTGGTTTGAGGAACACTGTACTAATCAATTAGTCAAATATAATTAATTAATCAATTGGCAAATACCACTAATCAACCAGCTCTAGTTGTAATGTATAGTATTGTGGATTTTCCTGTTTTATTTTATCATAATTCAAGGTTAAATTGAAAATAATCAATTGTGTTCTACATAGTTTGAACCAATAAGTTTCTGTTACTGTAATATACAGTAGTGGTGTGGACTTTCCTGTTTTATTTTATCATAATTCAAGGTCAAAGTGAGGATAATCAGTAGTGTTTTACATAGTTCACTTAGTTTGAACCAATAAGTTTCTGTTATGTAATATACAGTAGTGGTGTGGATTTTCCTGTTTTATTTTATCATAAATCAAGGTCAAAGTGAGGATAATCAATAGCATTATATATAGTTCACTTAGTTTGAACAAATAAGTTTCTGTTATTGTACTATACAGTAGTATTGTGGATTTTCCTATTTGTTTAACTTATAATTCAAGGTTAAAGTGAGGATAATCAGTAGCATTATATATAGTTCACTTAGTGTCAACTGATAATGCTCATCTGTCCTATAAATTTTCAAGTTTCTTGTAACCACATTTTTCTTGCACGACTGGTACAGTAATGTTGGTTTACTATGTATTAGCATATACATGCATTTCCCCAACTAGTTACAATGTGTTTACTTTAAGAGTTACAGCAGTAAATATTAGCTTCTCTTTCATCACGTTTCAAGAGTTAAGTACGCAGTATAGGTAGGCAGTGTTCAGTATAATTGTGGTTTCAAATTATGAAGTACATGTGATGATATTTCCTATCTTGAACCCAAACTCGTTTACAGAGTTCATGTATTTGGTCTAGTCTTTTAGTTTTTAATATTAATACATTATATATAAATAGTAATAAACGTGTGGGCTTAAAAGAAATGTGATAGAAAATGTTTTATCATTCGTGCAGTTTCTGCTTGTGTACTACTAGTCATTTATGAATTAAATGTTGAGTAAATAATAATTATAAGTGTGTGTCCATTCATGTCAAACAAAATTACACTTCTGAAATATATATGAAGTAAAAATCCTTTAAAGTTTCCTTACAGTGCTGAAATAGGATAAAGAAAATGAATAATATTGTTATAAATACAAGGCAAGTTTTGCCACAACGTTAGGAACTTGTTAATCAAAATGTAACAGTGAGTTAGTAATAGCCGAACTCTTGGACTGGCACTCCCGAGTCTTTATCGCCAACACTTTGTTTTTGTGGGAAAGAAACTTTTCATTTTATGATATTTAACTAAGGAATTTTCATAATTTTTCAATATAAGAATGAGATGAAAAATGTTCTTTTAAATCAATAATTTCAATTTTGTATTACAAAAAAAAAGTTGTTGAATTCAATCAGAATTTTGTTAAATTCACTTGATGTGAAATGTTTTGATAAGTCTTGGAAATTAGATTAATTTCATTTTTCAACATTTACTCAACTACAATATGCAGAGTACATGACATTATGACTACCAGGTATTTTAGACTATGATTACAGGGGACACTACTTATGACTACAGAATACATTACACTATGATTACCTGGTGCACTGCAGTTATTCCTTGTCTTTCATGGTTTCAGTATTAACGGTACACCCGAATTCCATCCCCAAAACTAATGTTAGGTTTGCATTGTGTTTGATAAAGTTTTAATTGCAATATTTCTGACACTTCCAACAACAAAATTGGTATATTCTTTTCACATTTATTGCTACATGCAGAATGTTTTTAATCATATTCTTGACTCTACTGTGAACTATCAAATTGTTGTTACAGGATTAACAAGACAATTGCAACACAGTAGTGTATTTAATATCGGTGCAATCCGGCAATGCACTGACAGGTCCCTCATATTGTTGGCCCCCAAAGTAATGCAAAAACTTACAAATTTTGATACCTATAGCTGATAAGTATGGATGAGCCCCCTAAGAAACTTGCACAGAGTAGATTGAAGTGTTAAAAACACCTCTGTTGTAACATATGTTTTTTTACAACCTGCTTATCTAGTGTTACTGACACGGTAATCAGTTACATTTCGAAGCAATGCCATCAAGTTTGTATATTAGGTTCAAATCCATGTAGGGTTACACTGGAATTTATGTATCTGTTGCCTTGAGTTATTACTGAAAACCCTGAGCAGATGGTTTCTTTAAAACGTTTTCTGTAATTTCATAACTGATCTTTATTTTTTATAAACAAGTTATTTTAAAATTTGAAAGCTCTGCTACAGTTGTTTACGAATGTAAGTCAGGAAAATAATTTCAATGAGCAAGATAAATAGTCAAACATATTACCGTTCTTATCTGCAATACTTTAACAAGTTGTTGAAACTTACAATTTAAAATATGTTAACTATGTATCAAGGTACAATATTAATTTCTGTTTGCACTAATACTTTTTATCTCTCATTTTGTGACTTATCTAGCTTCTTGTTGGGAGGAACTATTCCTCCTTCAGGTTTCATTTACTTAAATTTGTTCCTATCGACTTGGAATGATATTGGCTAACATCCACATTCTCAGATTGTCATTATCTCATTGATTGTGCTAATGAGCAGTCTGTTTTTCAAATATTTGTGTGTAGTTTTCCATCTCCTGGTGGCCATTTTGAATTTTTGTTTTATCATTTCTGATAATTTTTTGCATGCATTATCTTATTCACTGTCACTTCAAGTTGCATATTTGTAATAGAATCTTCAGTTAAATTTCTGCAGGTTTTTCATGTATTCCCACATAATTTGTAAGGAAGGTTGAGTGTTGTATTAAAAAGATTTAGAAGCAGCTTGTGTACATGAGTTTGTCACTGTTCCGTATATAGATCCTTCTTGATTATGTTGCACACTTTTGCTTGGAATATGTGACTTTTGCCACACACCTTTGTGTTCATGGATTCTTACATGTTGCAAGAAGCTGCATTTTGCTTCTGCAGTTGGGGTATGACTTGTTACAGGTCTATTTCTGGATGGTCTTCGTGTCCCATGGTGATCCATATACTTATGCCATTAAATGCAAGGGATATCCTCATCTTAGAAATTCTAAGTAATAGATTTGAACACATTTCAATATATCCAAGTGTATGAATATTGTATGTCTGAAAGGGCTGTTACATACTCTTCCCAAAAATGATCAGTTCTTTATGGCTTTACATTACTTACAAAATGCCAAACCATATCAAAATATAGTTCTACTGAGATTTTATATCGACTGTGGTCCTGCTGATTTGAATGTAATGTACTAAACCCTCTGTATTTAACGTAGTTTTCTTCTCATAAAAAATTGATACGACTTGTATGTAGTTCAACTCTCACAGTTATGCTACCTTAAAAAAATGGGTGATAAGTGTAAAAATTATGTCACATATTGTTTACTCAGTCATTATTTCCTTTCTCTCCTAATCTTTAATTTGTTCTGACTCGAATCAGTTGTTACGTCCTAGATACTAAGAAATTATATTTTATAAATTAGACTGAAATTGACCATCCTCTTCCATTAGAGAAAGGGGGTCTTTTGTAACCCTCATATTTGCTTAAAGATCTTCAAATTGGATAGACCAACTTATCTCTTAAATAATGAAATCCTTTCTTTGCTCACTACCTGCATGCAACTAAAAGTTCTGGATGTTCTCGACAGATGCTGAGCATATGTCAACTTACCCATAATCCTTTACTCTCACACCTTCCTTATAACTTATTACATATACATCAGGAGATATTACATAAGCTTTGCTTTTCCATTATAATTCATAATTTGTTGTTGACAGTCGGTTGTGCCATTAAATTTGCTCACTGTGAATTCTGATATGAATGTTAACTACTGTTGCAAATGTTCCTACCAGTATTGGAAATTCCACAACTTCTTTGAGGCCTTACTAACATGCAGGAAGATCATGTGGTGGAACTGTCGGCTTTTAATGATATACATGTTCTAGCCATTAATTCTAATCGTCTGCTAGTGTACTTTACAGGTTTGATGCTCATTTACAGAACACTTGTCCTTTTCTCATGAAGATGAACATAAGAAGTTTTTAGTTAAGGCTTATTCACCGTCATTGTTTGCAGAACAGGATTTGCCAGTTAGCCCTAATTCTCCAGAATCTTCTGAGATATGTTCTGTTGTAAACCTTGAACTAATTTCTCTTGGGCTTGATGGTGCTACTGTCATATAAGACAAATGAATTCTTGAATTTTTATATTTTCCAACTTTTTCCTGATTTTTGAATAATACCTGGCACTTTTAAAAATAATATAAATGTTAATAGCCTGTTAATGGAATCATTTTCTACTCCTCTTATCTCCCAAGTTCTTGACCCACTGCTTAATTTTTTTTTTTGGGGGGGGGTCTTCTTCATTGTCTTGTATATACTTTGACCCATTGTTAGTTTTCTGTTCTGCACAATATGACTTGTCTCATTTTTAGACTTTTTCGGAGTACTTATTACTAGTACAGCTACTCTCGTTCTTCTGATTCCTTTTGTCAGGAGAACATTTGTAGTTTCTCTTACCACATTGCTCTTATGTTTCCCTGGCATTTTAACCTGTCATGCTGTGTTGCAAAGTATTCATCTCCCCATCCCAGCTGTCCTCGGATAAGCTTATCTCTCATTTAGGATAAGCATGTCAAAAGGAGCTGATTAGGGTTTTAAGATTTCAACTTATTTCTGGTAGTTATTCCTTTCAAAAGGGTTAGTAATGCTTGGTTT